CTAAAGGTCGGTTCATTGATTTTAATTCAAGGAGGCTGCTATTGAAAAATTATCTACTTACTTGGATGTCTATGTCCAATATTTAAAATAGGTTCATGTATAAAAAACAAGTTTTAGTGCCACCATGCATTGTCATCCAAACTAGACGTGTATGCAAAATTCAGCTCAATCGGTTGGGGATAACTGTTTTAAAATTAATTTGCAAGATTTGACCCAATACTAACAAGGCAAGTTAAATAATAAGCTTTGTAAAAATAATGATAGTGGTCCTTCGAGCCGGATTTTTATATAAAGTAACAAAAATTACATTGTTCAACCTCAACCAAATTATTTGGTTGTGTTACATTTTAAGAACCAATTTTTGCGTTCCCACGGATTTAAACAAATGATGGAAAGTCAAGCCGCGGTAACTGCATAACTTGTTTGAATTAATATTTACTTGCGATCATTTACGACGGCCAAGGATCGGTAATTATGTGAGAACTCAATTAAAATCTCATCGGCTTCCAATTTGCGTGTTCTCGGAACAATCTCGTTGGATAAACCTAAAAAGATTTACATTTCGTTTGTTGTAAAACCACAAAGCAGAGGTGTTTACATTGCACTGAGTCATATACAAAGAAATCGTGCCTATCGTGATGCGGTTTGTTAAACATCGGTCTGGCATTAAATAAATACCAGTTCTAAGTAAATAATAGCTTTTTATGCGGAGATTAAGTCGTATTGTGGTCGAGTTGAATAGGATTACTTGTGGGATTTTTAGTTTCTTTTGCTTTAAGTACGCTCTTCCAACTTCTAATAGAGGTTTTTTTCCCTGTAGGCCCCACCTCGCCTTAGCAGCAAATCATTTGACTTTTACGGCATCAAATTCTTTATAATTTCTTACTATAGTTATAACGGCATAGCGGAAACTTGTAAATTGCCTGCAAAGTGTGTCAGAACGTGTCCGTAGAAACAAGGATGATATACTGTTAAGTTGTCCACACTTGGAACAAAAAGTGTTAAGTGTGTGGATCTCTGTGTTTCTGTTATGAGAATTCGTGTGCTCTTTCCTTGTGAGTGAGGTGAAGAAAAGCCGCAACCATTGCTATCATAGTGCGCCTTCAGGATAACGCCGACCAGGATGTGGGCAAAGAGGCGACCGAGATCAAAGAGAAAGAAGGCCACCAGGAGACGGTAGACACCCCTCTGACGTCGCCCTCCGATGAACTTCCTATCCAGGTATATATATATTGCCATTTTTTAAAGAGATATAATCGTTACATGGTAAATATTATCCAAAAACATTAAATAGGTACCTATACGATTAATATTAGCGATCTAAAATAGATTTTTTGAAAAACCGCGAACAGAAAAATGATGATCAATTTTCAAGTCAATAAGAGCCATTAAAGTCGTATGAGGTTTTAGAATTTTGTATACTAAATTTGATGCAAAATATTATTTAAAAAAAAATACCGAGGTTCCACTTCATTAATACTGATTGTGAGTTGTGGAAAAATGTCATGATAATTTATAACATTATTTTTGCAAGTAGAATCACTTTCTAAAATTTTTGCTCATAGTTTTCGGCACCCTGTATTATGATTCTGCACAACTTTTTATGTACAGGGTGACCGATTTATCTGGAGAAATGAGTTTTTCTGGGGCACGGCTGAGAAAAGTAAATTATTTTAGAAACTATTGCATTTCTGATTACTTTTACTTGAAGGTAGGGTCAAAATACAGAAATCATCTTTACGACGCTAGGCATCGTGGCGCTTCAAAAAATTTTTGCCAGCAACATACATTTTTTAATATGTCACAATAAAGATCCCTTAATTTTGAATATTTTTCCTGACATTTTTTATGTTCCCATTATTTAAAAAATTGTCGATTCCCAAATCGTACTTTGTTAATAAGACATCATCATAAAACTATATAAACCTATTAAAAATGACACTTCATATAATTTAAAAGCTTTACTGTAATTCTCCAGTGCAACTAAACAGTGAAAAACAATTGCAAAATTTTTTTCTGTTGTGATAGTTTTTGCCCCACATTTTTAATAAAGGTTGTAAATTCTATTCGTTGAACTTTATTATTTTTTAAATAAATGCAAGCAGGCTAGGCAAAGAAACAGTATTTGTTTTCATGTGACATATTCTCAATGAGAAGTGTCAGAATTTTGAATAATCATTATAGAGTTTATAGAATTAATTTTTGTGATCGTTCATTAGTACTAGTTACTGAGAAGTAGCAGTAATAAAATGTTTTCCCATGACGAAAAAGTGGATATGCTGTTAATTTTCGGAGAAGCCCTGAAAATGCATTACGGGCAAGAAGATTATACGCACTGAGATATCCCGAAATAAATCTTCCAAATCAAGTATTTAGCAAATTGGAAAATGTTCTCCGTCGGAATAAGAAATCATTTTTAGTTAATAGGGTGAGACTAAAAACAGTAACCGCTGATGAAAATGTGGCAATTATAATAAACTATTTTGAAAATCATCCTGAAGCATCGATTAGAAAGGCTTCCAGAGAGTTAAATTTGACATATAATGCAATTCAAAGAGTTTTCAAAATTAACAAATTTCACGATTATAAAATACATACTGAACGGCGAAAAAATTTTATTTCTCAGTTCTTAGTTGCATTAGATGATCCTAATTTGTATAACCACATTCTGTGGACAGACGAAAGTCATTTTATTAGTCATGGCATTCCAATCCGGAAAAATACTCATCATTGGTCGGACGAAAACCCACATAGTATTAGAGAAGTTCAAAATCAGGGTCACTTTGGTGTCAATGTATGGTGTGGAATATTTTTATGATGGTGTCTTAACGGGACAAAGGTATTGCAATTTTGTTGCAAATGATATTTATAGAAAATGTGCCACTTCAAATTAGGAGACACCTGTGATTTCAACTGGACGGGGCGCCTTACCATAATGCTGCAGTTGTTCAAAACTATTTAAATTTGCACATTGAAAATAAGTGGATAGGTACTAACGGCCCTTTACAATTTGCTCCGAGAGCCCCAGATCTAACCCCCCTTGATTTCTTCTTGTGGGGAGCCCTAAAAAATATGTATAAAACTAAAACAAACAGTATTGATCATTTGAAGCAGAAAATCACTGCTACTTGTCCAGTGAACTAAGAAAACGTTACGAATTGTGTTTAAATAATAATGGTGCTCACATTGAACACCTATTAAAACATTAAGTATTGTGTTTATTTATTTTTATGTTTATTTATTTCAGTTGATATTCCTTTCCTATTTACGTATTTCAGTTGATATTCTTTATATTGTTGTGGTCTCCTTTATATGATAGGTGGGTTTGTAATTCTTACAGATTCATGTAATTGTATACACAGTTATGTTATTAAATTCTTTATAGTGAATACGTTTTTTATTGTAAATAGAACAATAGTTATTGATGTATTGAACCAGCAAAATCATTGAAAAAAATCTATATCGCTGGCTACGTCGTTGCAATAATAATTATGAGATAGGGAATTGCCCATAACTTTTTAAATAATGGGAATATAAAAAATGTTATATAGGAAAAATATTCAAAATTAAGGGATCGTAAAGATAATTTCTGTATTTCTGCCCTAACTTCTAGTAAAAGTAAGCAAAAATGAACTACTTTTTAAAATAATTTATTTTTCTCGGCCGTTTCCCAGAAAAACTCATTTCTTCGGTTAAATCGATCACCCTGTACGTAAATTTATTTTACAAGACGATGTAATTAATACTAATAATTATTTATTTTGTTAGAAACAATGTAATTTACTGAATAACTGAATACTTAGCTTCCCCTAAAGCCGCATAAACGTCCCTAAAGCTGTTCCAAATTATTCGATGTAAACCTGTTTATGGTTGAATAAAATTACGGACAGATATAAACGACGTCAATTCATCATAATATAGAAATGATAAAGGCCTATACGTTCATGATTTTACAACCCCTGCGATATGCGGGCTCCTATAAATAAGTTATATTTAATTTTCACTGAACATTTGATTTTATGTTCTTCCCTAATGTCAGCCGGGCAATAAAATCCACAGTTTCAGCGTTCGTACATGGCGTAATATCGCATAAAAATACTTGGAAATCGGCTCTCCAGCTAGCGCCATAACTTTTATCTCCCGCCATAATTTATGGGGTCGTTAATTAAACCTTTTAAATGTTTACAACCAATGATAATAAAACGGCAACTCGGTAATGGCAGTTTATGTCGACAGTTAACATAACCACGGCCGAACATAAAATGTCTACGTCGACTAATAAGTGTAACTTTAACGGCCTAGGTTGGCAGCACTGACGGTACGAACTCCAATCGGGATATTTAATACGTACCGCGTTTCAGATAATGTACATTATAATGTTGCAAGTTGTGAACTCAGAACTACTGGACTATTTCCAAAAAATTTCTATTAATACCAACTTCGATAAATGAAAAATAAGAAAAAAATATTTTAAAAACAAGCTTTTATTAAAAAGTAAAAAGAAAAAATAAACCAAGGTCTTCATAAAACCCATAATGTTGTGGAAACTACATACCCACAAAATAATAATAATAATAAATAATAAATAAATAATTTATTTTCCACTGAGACAATATTACACTGTATGGGAATAGTCACAAAGAGTTGAAAGTAAAAATACACTCCAAAAAACACCAACAAAGTACAAAAATTAATATATATGTTAGAAACTGGATGCCAGCATTCAATGGGACGGCGGTTATCGTTTTGTTTGTTGATGTTACTGGCATGAGTGAGATCACCACGGCCGATGAAAGACGTCGAGTACCAAGGAAACGGGATACACTCGCTATCTAGCTGTCGGGTTATGCAGTTGTTAAAAGTTTAGAATAAAATTGTATTTGTTTTATTCTTTTTATTTAATTGAAACTCCAATAATCATAAGAAATCTAACATCAGAAGTGGGATTAACTTACGCATTTCTTAGTGTTTTTGAAATTTGAATTGTGAAAATTGCGAATATGAGCGAGTCTGAGCAGAGGCGGTGCCGAAGAAGGGAGCGCAGGGACTCTCTCGATGATAGTGCTGAAGGCGTTTTAGTTCAAAGGTCCAAGAAATCCTCTCATGGCAGTCGTTCGGTGAGTAATGATGAGTCTGTTTCAAATCTTAGTAAGATATTTTTGAGCGGGATTGAGAAATTAATGACAAAATGTGGGAACACCAATTCACAATCCGAGTTAAGCCTCTCGATAAGTAAAGATGTTGTGTCGGAATTTGATCCGATTCACAATGATTTAAAAAGTTGGTTGGATGCAATTGACGAATATGCCTTAATTTATAATTGGTCTGATCGTGTCACATGTCACATTGCTTTGAGTAAATTGCGAGGGCCGGCCGAAGTTTGGTATAGGGGTCTGCCAACGCGTATTTTTTCATGGGCTGAATGGAAAACTATGCTACTTGAGAATTTTTCGCACAAACGAGATTTAGCAACGGCTATGACCTTGATGCTGCAGTGCAAACCAAAGTCTATGGAAAATTTGTATGAATACGTTTTTGAAAAACTTTCACTTATCCATAAAATGCAAATTCCGTTAAATAATACGGATAAGGTAAACCTAATCTTGAGCGGAATAGATAATCAACAAATTAAATTTTCAGTTGAGACAGCGAACATTACCGATCCGGCGATTTTAGCACGTCATTTACGAACATTTTACACCCCGACTCAAAATAACAGAAGTTCAACAATCACCGACCCAGAAAAGTATTATTCACTTCCAAAATGTTATAATTGTAAGCGCCACGGACATGTTCAAAAGAACTGCCCTAACCAAAATAAACAATAGTTCCGTATGAATCGGGCATTCATTTTGTTAGTAGTAAGAACATAAATATACAAAAAAATTACCATGATATACATACTTATAGAAAGACAGCTAATCAAATGTTATATTTATTATTATTATTAATGTTCATTGATATCTGATAATTGTAAAATTTCTAAAATTGCTAAATACAACTAATATAATTAAAACATTAAATACATCTAGAAGATAAACTATATTATACAGTTTATGTATATGTTTATATTATAATAGACGATGTGGCTCCGAAGGTTTGTTTATGAATTCTTAAGGGCACGGCCATCAATGCCGATGTGTTTATTAGACAAAACTTTACCGAACTGGATGACATAAATTATATTAGGCCAGGCCATTGCTCGTCGCTGTTTATACTTTAAACCGCCATCTGAAAAAATATTTATACCCTATTCCAAAAATTGCTGATCCTTTTTCGCACAATCCATATAGACTATTTTGGCATTTTATTAAGTCGCGCAGTATCAAAACTTATATACTAATAATCGTAGATGCATTTACAATTTTTTTATTGACATGTCAAGTCAAAGATTCGAAAGCAAGATATGTTATTAAATGTTTCCAAGATTTTATTAAAAAAAATGTTGGTGTTCTCCGTCGTATAATTTCTGAAACTGGTCGCTTGTTTACTTTTTAAGCATTGAAAGCTTTTGTGTACGACATGTGCGACTCATCATTTAAATGTCGTCGGCTTGCCACGAGGAAATGGACAAGTTGAGAGGTAGAAATCGGATGCTCCTTGATTCGTTGGCCATAATGGGAGCCAATCTTGGGTATTAATGGCACTATCAACAAAGTCATAGGAGTTCCACCTGGTGAAGGGCTACCGTGTCAGAATTAATTCCGCTTTTGAACTCGACTGGATTAATTCTGCAAATGTGACCGAAATACTTAAAAATGTTTTAGGTTAAACGTTCTTCTGCTCCATCATATCAAACTTGGTGACTTGGTCCTTTACGTCCGCCACTGAGGTTAGTTAAAAGCTCGACCCAATATGGAGAGACTCATTCCGGGTTTCTATGTTCTGGAAAACGATCGTTACGAAATAAGCGATGTTAATGGGATGCAAGGATCACACACCCGTTATGGTGGAATAGCTGGTGTTGTAGCACTAGCTAGACAGGTATTTGGACGGGCTTCCGTCGGGTGACGTTTGTCGTCACCTTAGTTTTAGGGCGTGTGTCGCCACCGTAGTTTTAGGGCGTGTGTCGCCACCGGGGACCATACCTGTTCAGATCAGGCAGGTACAGTGTCCGTTAGTGTAAGTCCGTTTAGTGTAAGTGGCGATTGTTTTAGGATCTGATCAGTCCGAATCGTGGGCTTTGACGTTTACCGATCGAATTACGGGCCTGTATCTCCGTTGAATTCTATCGATTTACGAGTCCTTAGTTAAGGTAGCATTAAGTTAGTTGCGGCATATAGGCAAAAAGTACCCTACTTATAATATCTAATAAATCTTGTATGTTTACAGTATAGTTCAAATCCCGCTTCCCCAGCAGCGCGAGGACGCTTGACGTCAGGAAGGGCCGTGTTAGAAACTGGAATGCCAGCATTCAATGGGACGGCGGTTATCGTTTGTTTGTTGATGTTACTGGCATGAGTGAGATCACCACGGCCGATGAAAGACGTCGAGTACCAAGGAAACGGGATACACTCTCTATCTAGCTGTCGGGTTATGCAGTTGTTAAAAGTCTAGAATAAAATTGTATTTGTTTTATTCTTTTTATTTAANATAAATAAATAAATAAATAATTTATTTTCCACTGAGACAATATTACATTGTATGGGAATAGTCACAAAGAGTTGGAAGTAAAAATACACTCCAAAAAACACCAACAAAGTACAAAAATTAATATATACAATACAAAACTAGTTTACAGAATTATAATATTCAGTTAAAGAATAGAAAACATTTTCAATCAGGTAACCTCTCAACATCTGTTTGAATTCAGTTTGACTACGACAAGACTTTATACAATGAGGTAGTTTATTAAATATCTTTAATCCAATGCAATTAGGTGAATTCTTAGTCATATTTAATTTTGCAAACGGTAAATAGAAATGATGTCTTTGTCGCGTATCATGAGCATGAACATTCTCATTCAAATTAAAAGAACTTGATTTACTGAAAACATAATTACATATTTCAAAAATGTATAAACAGGTCAACGTTAATATACCGTACTTTTTGAAAAAAGGTCTACATGTCTCATTTAGATTTATATTAGCAATACATCGAATAATACGTTTTTGTGCAATAAAAACTTTTTGACTGTTTGTAGAAATGGCCCAAAAATATATTCCGTATCTCAATACCGACTCAACCTTTGCATAATAAACATTCAATATTTGTTTTATTTCAAAGACACATCGTAAGTTAATAAAAACATATCTTAATTTATTCAAAGTAGCTATGATTTTTTCACAGTGTGAATTCCAATTTAAGTTTTTATCTAAATATAGACCTAAGAAACGTATAGAATCACATGAATTAGTCAATACAGTGTCATAAAAAGAGTTGAATATGGCTGAAAAGTATGATTAGAGACATACTATCTATATCAGTATGTTCATGTTCTTAGTGATTTAAAATAGTATCTCCCGAACGGAGCAAGTTGGCATATTGCGGTTCAGTTGAAAGATAGCTTATTTGGCTTTAAAAAACATCCAAATTTGGTGAAAATAAAAGGTGGGATTTTTGAGAAAATCAATTTTTTCTCATTTTTATCATAAAGTTTTAAAGCAATTTGAATTATGAAAAAAACAGGTAGAAGCTGATAAAATTTTGCACATTTTGAAAAAAAAAAAACGTTTCGACAGGATGATTTAGGTCAAAATGACGGCCACTTAAAAAAAAATATGCATTTTCATTTTCGAAATAACGCTGCCCCGATGTAAACTTTGTCATGGTGCCACAGAGAAACAAAAAAACGGGTCTCATAAAATTTGAAGTAGATTGACATCGTAAAGTTTCAAAAAAATCGAAGAGGTCGATTTTTTTTACTCGTTCAATCCATATGGAAACTACCATGTAATAATCTTGTGTTTATCATTGATAAGGAACAGTTACAATTATTTTGGCAAAAATATGTTTCTAAGTCGTCATTATCACAAATCCGTCGATTGGATCACATACATTGCGAAAAAGAAGGAACTGAAATTAATAATATACGGTTGAAGTTTAGTGGAATTTTTCTACTTTCCGCCTTTTTATTTCTTCAACTAACCGGCATTACTTTTATTATTTTATTATCTCAATGAAATACGTACCATTATGTAAATACGAATTCATAACTGATAAAAAAAAGCTTTATAAATGTACATGAAAAGAAAAAACACACGTAGTTCGTTACGTAGGATCGACATATACCTACAATAAGTAGTATGACAGTCTTCTCCCCCTCCACCACGCGCATCAGTATGTCGAGCCGAGCAAGCAATACCTATACGGGACCCATAAAAATTAAGTTTAATGAAAGAAAATGGGACCCATCGCTGCGGACTATTTTTTATATTAAAGTACAGGTATTCAACTATATCATATGGCGATTTTTCGAAAAAAAAATTTTTTTCTCGGCCCCTGTTGGTCGTAGGACAGATTTTTTTTTAATTCGTGAAAAAATGTCAACTTTCAAATGGCAGTATCGACAGTTTCATACGAATTGAAATCAAAAAGTTAATCAAAGTTTATGGCCACGAAAAAAAAAACGATTTTTCGATCGTTTTTTGGGATATTTGAAATCGATTTGAGGCTCGCGCAATATTTACACATAATAGTGTAATTATTAAAGAAAATTTTAAGCCCAACCCCATTCCTAAAGATGTGGCGGCCTATGAATTATGGGGATTTTACAAAAACGTTTTTTTTTTTTTTGAAAATTGGAATTTTGCAAAAACTATATCATATTTTTCAGTTTTGAAAAAATCATTTTATTTTGCTCACCAAGAGCTATCCTTTCACCAAGTTTCATTAAAAAATATGTATTTTTGAAAGAATTGCGATTTTTAACGGTTTTTTTGCAATAACAAATTAAGTTATTTATCGATGAAAATCGGTTTGGGCTTATTCGATCCGTATTAAAAATTCCTACAACTTTTGTCTGAAATATTTATTTCTAAAATGTTTACTTTTTTTATAAATGAAAAAAACTGTTTTTTGCAATCTTTGGACGCCATTTTGAAAATGAAGCCCAAAAATTCAGGTGGGGTAAAGTAGTTCATTGAATTCTACGGAATTTTTCTTAATTTTTACATAT